ACAGATGTCCATAAATCACCACACTTTCCCGGCCTCTAATCCCAGCCCCCTGCCCACATAGTCGAAACAAGGGAAGGACGAAGAATGAATGAATTACAGCCGTATTACCTGAAGGTGTCGTTTACATGAATGGCTGCAGACGTGACCCTCTCTCTCTGCTGCCCCCAGATGGCCTGTTTGTGGACAGCGTGTCCACATTATAGCTTTCCCGCAGGTACAGCTCAACACAGTAACCCTGAACACAGATTCCCACTGAACACCAGTGGATCAGCCCACCGCCAAGCACACGTGGACAGCCCGGAGATGTACACCCCCGACAGCGCGACATCCTGATTGTCCTTCAGCAACCACCTTCACACCAATCTTATTTGATGACTCATGGAAATTCCCGACTACCTTTGTCCAAGTGTTCTCAGAAAGGTGGGCTCACCAGCCCGTTGAGTGAGATGCGCTGGGCGTCACCTGCAAAAAGCCAGAAGAACATCAAGGTGCACAGAGCCAGAGACCTGAGCTGAACCTAAACTTCTCTTCCAGCCTCAGTTTGATGGCGCTCATGCGATGGAAACCATTGAGGGGGGCTGTGGTCAAGCGCATGAGCACTTTCCAGGGTGCTGTGTCACATTTCAGGTATTCATGGTAGAGCAGGTCATGTGACTCCACACTTCCAACTATCAGTATGACATACATGTACGCATAATGGTTAAAAAGAAGGACAGACAAATCCCGATTAACTATTGAATTCAACAAACATGGCTGCATTTGAATGTACGTCCCTCAGCACTGATATGGTTACCCACAGAACAGTGTGAGTGGCTTCAGCTGTGGCGGGTTCCCCCTGTGGGCTCAGCTCGGTGCTTAGAGCCGACGCCTCAGCTTTTCAGAGCTGCTTCCTGCGCCTAACGTCTGTCGGCTGCCAATGGCGACTCTCTCAGGTGGACAAACATTCCTCCCATTTTTGCTTTGAGGATTATCTCTCTACGATTCGTCGCCTTGGACCGTTTAACGACTTGGAAGGCCGTGTCTCTGCTCGGCACGGCGGACGGCATGGTCGCTTTGATTGCAGAGGGTAATTAAGCACACGATGATTGACCAGGACAGTAAATTGGGATGGGGGGGCACAGTTAGGGATCTTCATGCTCTCCTTTAAATCACCCACCCCACCCCCACACTGACAGGCCAAACCTAGGGTTAACATGAGACCTCTGCAATCATCACACAAACCGTTTCCATTTTAAAAATTACCTCTTTAATAACAATAAAAAATACCTATGGATTTAATTTATACAGTGACTTTGTGTTACACTGGTATCGCTAATTTAATAGTGTGCAGCTTGCATAAGGAGAATCAGCCCATTCGCATCCTGGGCAACCCTGAATTTAGGGATCATTTAAAGGAGCAGTACGCCTGAATCTGGATTAACACCCCCAACCAGGGCTGGGTTTTTTGTTTCTGCCCCCCTCCCTCCCACCACCACCTAGGAACAAAAAACTAAATAAACAGATAGTGAGTAGAGGTAGAAGACGCTAACTAGCTGGTTAGGAGAGTGTGCTGTTTCAGCGGCTCCTGAATAAGAAATGCATTTATTTGTTATTTGCTGTAGTGACTGTTGCCCAAATCTCAGGGCTCCATGGAGACCACAGCGGCCCACCACACGGGGCCTTTACACTCTGTGTTCAGTTTCCCACCGATAAGTCACTGGGGCATGACGTCCTGGACTATTTGCTGAGATCTGCAATGAGCTCTGTGAGTCAGCACTGCTGCTACCATCACCTCTGAAGGACAGCGCCCCCTACAGCATGCTGCTTACTTTTCTGCACTCAGGTGCCAGTTCATCATCTGAGCTAAAGGAAACAGTGCCCTCTACAGCCCAAAGAGCGGTATTTCATTAAGCTCAGCTGACTTGCTTGTCCTGTCATTAAATTTCTGAATAATTTTTCAAATATTTTTGAAGGTTTTTCCATACTAATGAGAGCCAATATATTCTTAATTTGTTTCCGCCTTAAATTCACAAATCCCAAATTATTTGTAATATATAACTTAATGTGATGCAGATGCATTCAATTCACTCACCACAGCATTATAGCAATTTAATCAAAGCTCATTTGTTGGAAGATTAGATGACACAGAAACCAGTACACCCAGGGATCTCCCAGTAGTGGGACTGGGAGCCATTGAGCCCGTCCCTGTCCAGCTTCAGAAACAAACACATGACAGGGGGGTGATTCTCACAGACTCCCAGAGCCATAAGCCCTCGACGCCCCCCCTGCCCCTCCCGAGAAGGGTGTCACCGTGCCGCAGCTCTGATGTCAGAGGTGGGGACAGTGTGGTTCAGCCTGTGCCAGGGTGACCTCATGCTGACCCGCTGCCCCCAGCCTGCCCCCGTGACAGGCCTGACTCCGCCCCCTCTCACCCTCCCTGTGATGGTTAGGAGTGCGATTCCTAGTCTGACTGATAACCCCATTTCCCCACTGATCTGTTTCAATCTCCTCAGCATCAGTGGAGGTGTTACTTCTCCTACTGACGGCCAGGACGGCCGCTATCTGTCTCAGCGCCACTTGGAATCACAGCAAAATGCACTTCCGTGACTCATTCGAGTCAGGAACCCGTCTGCGACCCAAATAAGCCGGATTCATATCTATCGGTCAGACAGGGTTAATTTAATTGCGTTCTCGTATGTGAATGTCACCGTCGCCATGCATCACGCATGTGTATGACCATGTGATCGCCATGTCATCACCAGTGCAGAATGTCATGTTTTTATATTGTCACCCTGACACGCTAGAATGTACCATGAGCTCTTTCCCCTGCTGTGCAACTTCACAGCCATTTACGAATTGTTAATTATATTTATGTGGCATTACTATATCAGTACCTTGCGTTAAATAATAATATCCAAAGAAACAGCTAAGAATGGCAAACGGATTTGGCAAGGGCGGGGGGCGGCTTGTGCGGTTGTGGCAGCAAATTCTCAATTTCCCTATAAAAAGGGAATTCATTTGCAGTGGCTAATGTAGTGTCATTGCTGTGTTTACCGAGCATGGATGATGTATTGGGGATGTTGCATTGAGTGGGACTGCTTAATGATGCATAGAATTAAGTCTGTGACTTTCAGCTGAGCTCCCTTCCTCTTCACATCCGCCGCCGCTCCCAGTGCACCCTGGGAAGGGGGCCTTTCTCGGACGGCCCGGCTCGTCCACCTCCGCGGGGGCGGAGAGCTAGACGGTGGAGGGGGAGGGACAGCAGGGAGGGGGAATTAAAATGAAGCAGAAAAAAGGCAAAAAAAGAGGAATAATGAATTAGTAAATACTGACACTAACGTTACCATTAAAATCTTACCGTTACAAAACTTTGCTAAGTCCCATGATGCCTGCTGAGGGCCTTTTAGTAGTGATGTGGCTCCTGAATTTGAGTTGAGTTTGAGATACAAGGGATTTCTGTACATCTTAATCTGTGGTGGCAGGCTTAGAGTTACAGGCGGCTGGGTGACTGATGTCTGTATCCACTGGATCCTGCACTGTCAACCTCTCATTGTTTCACCTTGGCATGATGCCCCCACCCCCCCCGGAAATCTGTCACTCTGTCTGTCTTGTGCTCTTTTGGCGAGTGAATGTCAGCCCACCAGGCATTAACAAGACATATTCAGCCTCTCTGTTCGTAGCTGGACGGTCATGTTTGATCATTGCAGGGAATCGTTTTCATACCAGTGATGAGATTCCTGTGATATAACGTGTGATGTAGTGTCTCAAATGCAGTCAACTGTGCTGAAAATGCCGGTGAGGTTTTAGTTTAATGCAAGGCTGGTCCTCAGATATTGTTGAAACGTTGGTGTAGATGAGTGTGTGTTGGAGTATAAGATATTTGGGACTAAATGAAGCAATGAACAGCTTTTAAAGACTCGGATTGTGTGAAGCCGCTCATGTTACATTAGCATTTGATTCATCTCTGCTCTCTAGTCCTGCTCTTTCCTCTTAAGCTGATTTCCCTGCTGCTCTTGATGCACGAGATAAACTCTCCCCTCATACACACGTGCTCTGTGTGTGTAGTCCTGTCACCGCTTTATGTCTTTTTCTCTTCCTCCCCTGTCCCTCCCCTGCTCCCATCTCCTGTAATCTACCTACCCGCACCAATCCATCACCCTGCCACACTCCCATGCTAAATTATTATTTCTTTGATGTGTTACCAGTTTAAAACAAATCCAATCCGCTAGCCGTCAATTTATCACCGGGGACGGGAAGCTGGGGGGGGGGGGGGG